ATTTATTTCTGAGATGCAAGGTTGTTTCAATATCTACAAATCAATTAATGTGATATACCACATGAACAAAATGAAGGATACAAATGATATGATCATATCAATAGGTGCAGAAAAATCATTTGATAAAGTCCAACATCCATTTATGATGAAAACTCTCAGCTAAGTGGGGGTAAAGGGAAAATACCTCAACATAATAAAGGCCATATATAACAAAGTTATAGCTAACCTCATATTCAATAGTGGAGAGCTGAAAGCGTTTTCTTTATTATCAGGAACAAGACAAGAATGTCCACTTTCACCACATTCATTCAACATATTATTAGAAGTTCTAGCCACAGCAATCAAGCAAGGAAAAGAAATAAAAGGCACCCAAATTGGAAAGGAAGAAGTAAAACTGTCATTATTTGCAGATGACATGACACTATATATAGAGAATACAAAAGATTCCATCAAAAAAACTATTTGAACTAATAAATGAATTCATTAAATAATAGGACACAAAATTAATACTCAGAAATCAGTTGAATACTTATACACTAATAACAAAGTGTCAGAAAAAAACTAGGAAAACAATCTCATTTATAATTGCATCAAAAAGAAAAAAATACCTATGAATAAATTTATCAAGGACATAATATACCTATACTCAAAAAATTATAAGACAATGAAGAAAGTAATTGAAGAAGATACAAATAAATGGAAGGATGTACTGTGCTCATGCATAGGAAGAATTAACATTGTTAAAATGTTCATAGTACCTAAAGATATCTGCAGATTCAATGTAATACCTATCAAAATACCAATGGCTCATGGAATAGAGAGGGGGAATGGAATCAATGGAATTGTAATAGATAAGCATGATATCGGGGGTGGGAAGGCAATACATGGGGGAGGGGGGTTGTTACTCTGTGAGGGTGAAAAGGATAACTATTGCATTGTTCTGTACACCTGAAACTAACAATAAAAAAAAAGATGTGGTACATACAAGTATATACAATGGAATATTATTCAGCCATAAAAAAGAATAAAACCGTGCCTTTTGTGACAAAAAAAAAAGAAATATCAATGGCATTTTTCACAGAATTAAAACAGTCATAAAATTTGCATAGAAACACAAAAAGACACTGAATAGCCAAAGCAATCTTGAAAAATAATAAAGTTGGAGGTACCATGCTACCTGATATCAAACTGTAACACAAGGCTACAATAACCAAAATAGCATGGCCCTAGCATAAAAACAGACATATAGATCAATGGAACAGAATAGAGAGCCCAGTAATAAACTCACACCTATATGATCAATTAATCTATGAAAAAAGAGGCAAAAATATACAATGAAGCAAAGGCATTTTCTTCAATAAATGCAGTTAGGAAAACTGGAAAGACACATGCAAAAAAAAAATGAAATCAGACTACTTTCTTACACCATATACAAAAATTAACTCAAAATGGATTAAAGATTTAAATGTAAGATTGGAAACCATGAAACTCATAGAAGAAAATATAGGCAATAAACTCTCTGGCATCACTCTTAACAATAATATATATAATCTCCTTGGACAAGGGAAACAAAAGAAAAAATAAACAAATGTGACTACATCAAACAAAAAATTTTTGCCTAGTAAGGAAACCATCAACAAAATGAAAACACAACCTGCTGAATGGGAGAAGATATTTGTCAGTGAAACATCTGATAAGGGGTTAATATCAAAAATTTATAAGAAACTCATACAACTTAACATCAAAAACAAAAAAACAAACAATCCAATTAAAAAATGAGCAGAGGACATGAATAGATGTTTCTCCAAAGAGGACATACAGATGGCCATAGACACACAAAAACATGTTCAGCCTCACTACCCATTAAGGAAATGGAAGTTCAAACCCCAATGAGATATTATCTCACACCTATCAGAATGGCAATCATCAATAAATCAACAAACAAGTGTTGGTGAGGATGTAAAGAAAAGGAAACCCTTTTTTGTTCACTGTTGGTGGGATTGTAAATTGGTACAGCCACAATGGAAAAAACTATGGAGTTTCCTCAAAAAAACTAAAAATAGAACTACCATATGACCCAGCAATTCCACTTATGGGTATTTATCTGAAGAAATCCAAAAAACTAATTGAAAAAGATGTATGCATGCCTATGTTCATTGAAGTATTATTTACAATAGCCAAGATATGGAAGCAACCTAAGTGTCCATCAATAGATGAATGAATAAAGAAGAATTGATACATATATACAATGGACTATTACTCACCTGTGAAAAAGAATCATACTTTAACGTTTGCAACAACATGGGTGGATCTAGAAGGTATTATGCTAAGTGAAATTAGTCAGACAGAAAAAGGCAAAAATCATATGATTTCACCTATGTGCAGAATCTAAAAATCAATAAACAAACAAACAAAATAGCAACAAACTCATAGATACAGAGAACAAACTGATGGGCTCCAGATGGGAGGGTGCCTTGGGGGCTGGGTGAAAAAGTTGAAGGAATTAAGAAGCACAAATTGGCAGTTATAAAAATAGTCATGAGGATGTAAAGTACAGCTTGGGGAATATAGCCAATAATAGTATAATAATTATGTATGGTGTCATATGGGTACTAGACTGGTGATCACTTCTCAAGATATATAAATGTCGAATAATGTTGTACACCTGAAACTAATATAATATTGTATGTCAACTAAAATTGAAAAATAAATTTTAAAAAACCTAAAATATAAAAGCAACTCATATGTAAGGATATAGAAATGCATTAAAACTAGGCAAACAGATAATAAAAGTCAAAAACAACAGAAAACATAACTCTTTGAGCAAGCTCTCTAGTAAGATTACTAGTGACCTGGTTATATTTCATCAGCATGTGAGTAGAAACAGCCAGGCACCAGGAGAGAGACTGCAGCTTTACTCAGATGCTTCTGCCTATGCAACAGCTGAATTCTGTCTCCCTAATTGAAGCTGTAAGCACAACCTCAGGCCAGCGATCTTGTCTCCTGTGTTTTAGGTAATCCAAAGTATGCAGTCCATGCTCGATCAGTAATAATGATTAATATTGAATCTCACTCCCTGGGCAGTGCTCCCAGTATTGATGATGTCAGTGAGGATTATGTCTCTCAGGAAAACACTTAGGATACATTTCCTGGCTGGCCCCAGTTAGATATAGAAGAGGAACTTAAAGCCTGTTATGCAGTAAGTCATGAAGCTTAGAAAAGAGCTCAGAAATACAGAAGAATGCTCAATTGTCCACTTGTCTTTTTGTCCCCTTTCCTGTCTCTTATCTGCTGTATGTTTAATTCATAATATAATTATAAATGCCCATAAATTCATAACCCAACCCAAGAAATAAATCATTAGCAAAAAATATACAAAATAGACCCAAGGGTTATAAACAAATTATCTAACAGCAGGAGAACAGAGGCACAAAGATTGCTGATGCTGGACAAACTTCTGGAGCTGGAATGGAAACCTCTGCTATGCTAAAGGGACAACACTTAGTGCCTGGGCCTTGAAGACACCTGGGTGAGGGGAGGTACAGATAAAGGGTGTTAGGAAGGCTTGTAGAGGGAATACTCACATGAGCTGGAGCAGAAGCTATGTACCAACTAGTGTGGAATTAGTTTAATCACTTAACAACCCCTCTCTAGAAGTAAGCACTATTGTGAATGTTATATTCATTATTCTATTATGCAAACATGTAAACACTTACACCCACACACATATACATATTTCCACGATTATTACTAACCATTTTAGAAGAGGCTGTCTTTCAATAAGCTTGTAAAGGACATTAACTGCAGGAGGTTTTAGGGAATAAGGATAATTTGTTTAATTAAAAATCAAATAAAACTGTTTCAGAGCTCTGTTAGGCTTGCTGGTAACTGGGAAATAAAATTTTAGGGAATATCATTGCCCCAAGTTCTGTGAAAATGAAACAAACAAAAAACAAACAAACAAACAAGCTCTCCTCTATCTATCTATCTATCTATCTATCTATCTATCTATCTATCTATCATCTATCTAACTACCTACCTATCATCTATCTATCATCTATACATATATGCATACCTGTCTCTTTTGGTTTGGGTTCTTTCCCTTTACTAATTTTGAACAGCCACTAATTAGGAGGACCTCTAGTCCTCCTAATACCCTTGTATTAGGTAATGAGCCAGTTAAGAAGAGTGATAGTTTACGCCATCTTGGTCCACTCTTCTATGTGGAAAGAGTTGTCTGGATATGAACGTATTCATGAGATCATACTAGGGAACTAGACCATCTTTAAGACCATTATTCAATCAACAATGATCTTTGCTACACACAAAAAATATATGAAAGGTTAGTGTTATTTCTGTTAAAATTAGTTAATATAACGTAAAACCTCAGAGTGTTTTTGTGAAGCTGAGATACAGAATGGACTTTTCTTTTTTTTTTATACAGTCACATGAAAAATAAACATCTTGGGCCGGCCGAGTGGCGCGATGGTTAAGAACTCGCTTGGGATGCCAGAGGGCCCCGGTTCGGATCCCACATATGAGGGCCGGTGACACTGCCCACCACAGCTAAGATGCTGAACAACAGCTCAACCTGGAGCTGGGCTGCCATGAGTCGCCGGCGACGGCGTGGGCTGCAGTCCCTG